AATGCCATGAGTCAGCAGGCAAGTCTAGGAAGCTGCAGGACGTCGGGGAATAAATTACAAGATCCAAGTCCTTGGTGTCCCTTTCATGGAGTAAATTAACCTGCCCACACCCTGCCCTGCTTCCAGTCTGGGTCAGGAGAGACAGATTTCTCCAAAGGGCAACTCGGAGCTCAGTTGTCTCAGGTACTTTCAGCTGTGCCCAGGCAAGTTGTGGGACGGAAGAAGCTGGCAGGGCCAGCTGGTTTTACTGGCATCCAGCTGTGCAACCAGCTGTGATGAGTGCCAGCCCTGCCATAGACACCCTTCAGTGGGTCCCCATCCCTCAGAAACTGGAGACCCTGACAGGGAAAAGGGAGGGGGGGACCTGGTCCCACCTCAAGCCCAGCCTCGTACAGTGGTGGAAGAGGGTTTTCCTGTCTCTGCAGGGGCTGTGGGATGCCCAGGCACATCCCACAGTCTCTGCTCCTGGTATGTGTTGAGGAAGGTTGGGCACTGGGGGAAGAAAGGCCCTGACACTGCACTTTGGGCAGGGACATGTTTTTCTTGCTTTCTTACAAAATCAGCCTATTCTGGTGAGAGGGTTTCAGGGCTGAGGGGTGAGATTGTTTTCCTTTTGTTACTACCTGAGCTGGTTCTCACTGATTTATTTAAACAAGAGCCTGGCTGCTTTTTTCTTCTGCCTCCAGAGATCCCAGACAATGTGAGAGACCTTGAGTGAGCTGCACGTCCCACAGGCAGTTAAATATCCTGGTTTACATGGCATTTCCAGACTTCCCTGTGGCCATACTGATCTCTGGATGGAATAAAGGTATGCAAAAGTGCATCAAGAAGGGGAGCAGACAAAGTCTCAAAAAAAATTGTCAAAACTCCACTTCTTGCATGTTACCAACCCCACCCATTCATGTTTGAGACAATATCTGTGCTCTTGCAATCTCCGGGAGGGAAATAAAGCCCATGAAGCAAAGCATGAATTATGCATGTAGTTTATTGAGGGTACAGCTGCAAGTTTGGAGTAAGTGAAGGATAATCAACTCTGTTCACTTACACATTAAAAGCATTAAATCCATCTGTCTAGTACACACACAGGGAAAACAACGCATGCATTTAACTACAGAAATATAAGGTGCTCATCAGTGTGTAATTAAAATCTGCTCTACCAAACCTGGTGTAGCAACTTGGACCAATTTACATAAGTGTTACCAACCCTCTCATAAACAGGAAAAATTGGATTTTCTGGTGTCATTAAAGAAGTTAAATAATAGCCACAGCTCCATCTTGGACAATTAAAATGTGGCTTCTCTTTCTGATGTTGGGATGACCAAATTTTTCATCCTTTTTGCAATAGCTGCATTAGGGAAAG